AGACAGTGTAAAGGTAGACTTTGACTCAGAAAGTGAAACTGAAAAAGAATTATGTTAGGAAAGCTAGACTGAGAAGGAAAGGTGAAAGAGTAGGAATAGACGTATGATTGTAATGTGTAACTGTAGTGTGCCAACCAAATACTGTGTATGTAAGTTCTTGCAGATGTAGAAGAGAGGTGAATGTGAGCCTGGCCTGCTGTGGAAGGAGGTTGCAGCATGCCTGACCTGGGGAGGCGGTCATGACCGTGCACGTGGCGCCAGCAGCTGTAGTAGCGGGCATCTGAAGATGGAGCAGCATAGAAGAAAAGCAAGTCTAAGCTTGTTCCATGCGGCAGTGGTGAGGAAGGAATAGGGGCAAGATGACCAGGGAGTGATGTGGCTGTCTTCTTGGGAACTACTCACCGCACAGAGGAGGATCTGGTCAAGTTTCCCCTCATACAAAAGGTGGAGGAAGGAAGAGTGCATAGGTGAGGTATCTGAACTATGCCCAGCATGGTTGTACACTTTTCAAAGTTGTGAAGCTGTTGTAGCTTGTTTAACTAGAGCAAATTGAAAGGTCAGTATTGGAATTAGTGCTTGAAGGATTATACTCTTTTGGCAGAGTGAGATGCAAATTAAATCATGTTCCTCTTAAGTGAAAGTCCTATACTGAGAAAGAAGTTAGATAGTAAATGTAAAAGTAATAGTTTGAAAATATGAATAAGTGAAAATCATTGAAATGTCCAAAATGAAGTTTAGTTTAAGTTCCAAGATGAGCAAAGTTTTATTTCAGAGTAGATAAACTGTCAATTTTAAGAATAAAGAAAGATATATTTCCTTTGAGTTTACAGATTATGGAGTGTTCTGTTTGCTATTTATGTTTTCTGCATGTATATTTTGATGGTTTCATCTTGTCAAGACAAGATTGGATGTGCATAGATGTGAAAATGTGATAAAGAAATATGTGTTTACTACAAAGGTTTTGCTTTGGTATTTAGGCATGCATACATGAGTTCACAGGTGAGCCCTTACCAGGAAAGCCAAAGAAAACTGTTTTGCCTAAGTTTGAGTTAGATGAAGGTCTGTTGTATTATGGCAAAAAGCGTAATGATGGCAGTATCTGCTATAGTATAGTTGTACCTAAAGAATGAAGAGCTAAAGCATGTAAGCTTTGACATGAAAGGGGTTGGACATATGAGTATCATAAAAACAATAAATGATTGTGAAGAAAGTTTCTTTTTGGCATTGGGAAACCTCTTTGACAGTCAATTGGTAATTTCCCTCGGATAACACGAGGTCTAGAGAGGATGAGTATTGATGTAACAGATCTGAAAAAGGGTGGAGACGGTTATAGATATATATCCAGGTGTATAGACCATCATTCCTGTTACGTAAATCTTTATCCATGAGAGGGAAATCAGGTGGGAAGGTGATGGCAAAGCTGAGAAACTACATGACAGCATATGGCAGTCCAGAGAAGCTTGTTAGTGACAATGGGTGTGAATTCCAAAACCGAGAGATGGAAAGTTTATGCAAGGAGGCAGGGATCACTGAGCACTTGATCACTCCATACCAGCCTGAGAGCAATGGTGTGGTAGAAAGAGTGGCTGGCTCAATTAAACCCATTATTTGTGCTTTAGGAAGAGGGTTCTGGTATCAGTGGCCCAAATCTTTGAGTTGGTGTGCCAGGAGCTTAAATGAATGGGTACACAGTACCACAGGAAGTACTCCTTATTGGGCATTCTTGAAAGGTCATCGTAAAAAGTACCTGGAGTTTAGGGTGCCAGATCTTCCGTCAGACGAGGAAGGTTTGGAATTGGCAGAGGACAGTATGAAAGAAGAGCGGGACAGAGCACTAAAGACATACTCACTCACAAAACAAAAATGTGAAAATTAACAACAGGAATGTGAAGTGTGGTAGTTTAGTGTGGGTAAAGAGAGAAGTGTTTGATCCGTATACCTGTGGTAAACTTTGTCACAAATAGCTAGGACCATATGTAGTGGAAGTAGTGATACGAGAGATGACAAAAGTATCAAAAGAGCAGCAGATAAGGTGAAGCCTTGTTTAGGGACAGATGCATAGTTAATTGCAGACAGTGTAAAGGTAGACTTTGACTCAGAAAGTGCAACTGAAAAAGAATTATGTTAGGAAAGCTAGACTGAGAAGGAAAGCTGAAAGACTAGGAATAGACGTATGATTGTAATGTGTAACTGTAGTGTGCCAACCAAATACTGTGTATGTAAGTTCTTGCAGATGTAGAAGAGAGGTGAATGTGAGCCTGGCCTGCTGTGGAAGGAGGTTGCAGCATGCCTGACCTGGAGGCGGTCATGACCGTGCACGTGGCGCCAGCAGCTGTAGTAGCGGGCATCTGAAGATGGAGCAGCATAGAAGAAAAGCAAGTACTCGTAAGCTCTGTTCCATGGCAGGCAGTGGTGAGGAAGGAATAGGGGCAAGATGACCAGGGAGTGATGTGGCTGTCTTCTTGGGAACTACTCACCGCACAGAGGAGGATCTGGTCAAGTTTCCCCTCATACAAAAGGTGGAGGAAGGAAGAGTGCATAGGTGAGGTATCTGAACTATGCCCAGCATGGTTGTACACTTTTCAAAGTTGTGAAGCTGTTGTAGCTTGTTTAAATAGAGCAAATTGAAAGGTCAGTATTGGAATTAGTGCTTGAAGGATTATACTCTTTTGGCAGAGTGAGATGCAAATTAAATCATGTTCCTCTTAAGTGAAAGTCCTATACTGAGAAAGAAGTTAGATAGTAAATGTAAAAGTAATAGTTTGAAAATATGAAATAGTGAAATCATGAAATGTCCAAAATGAAGTTTAGTTTAAGTTCCAAGATGAGCAAAGTTTTATTTCAGAGTAGATAAACTGTCAATTTTAAGAATAAAGAAAGATATATTTCCTTTGAGTTTACAGATTATGGAGTGTTCTGTTTGCTATTTATGTTTTCTGCATGTATATTTTGATGGTTTCATCTTGTCAAGACAAGATTGGATGTGCATAGATGTGAAAATGTGATAAAGAAATATGTGTTTACTACAAAGGTTTTGCTTTGGTATTTAGGCATGCATACATGAGTTCACAGGTGAGCCCTTACCAGGAAAGCCAAAGAAAACTGTTTTGCCTAAGTTTGAGTTAGATGAAGGTCTGTTGTATTATGGCAAAAAGCGTAATGATGGCAGTATCTGCTATAGTATAGTTGTACCTAAAGAATGAAGAGCTAAAGCATGTAAGCTTTGACATGAAAGGGTTGGACATATGAGTATCATAAAAACAATAAATGATTGTGAAGAAAGTTTCTTTTGGCATTGGGAAACCTCTTTGACAGTCAATTGGTAATTTCCCTGGGATAACAGGAGGTCTAGAGAGGATGAGTATTGATGTAAGAGATCTGAAAAAGGGTGGAGACGGTTATAGATATATCCTCAGGTGTATAGACCATCATTCCTGTTACGTAAATCTTTATCCAGTGAGAGGGAAATCAGGTGGGAAGGTGATGGCAAAGCTGAGAAAGTACATGACAGCATATGGCAGTCCAGAGAAGCTTGTTAGTGACAATGGGTGTGAATTCCAAAACCGAGAGATGGAAAGTTTATGCAAGGAGGCAGGGATCACTGAGCACTTGATCACTCCATACCAGCCTGAGAGCAATGGTGTGGTAGAAAGAGTGGCTGGCTCAATTAAACCCATTATTTGTGCTTTAGGAAGAGGGTTCTGGTATCAGTGGCCCAAATATTTGAGTTGGTGTGCCAGGAGCTTAAATGAATGGGTACACAGTACCACAGGAAGTACTCCTTATTGGGCATTCTTGAAAGGTCATCGTAAAAAGTACATGGAGTTTAGGGTGCCAGATCTTCCGTCAGACGAGGAAGGTTTGGAATTGGCAGAGGACAGTATGAAAGAAGAGCGGGACAGAGCACTAAAGACGTACTCACTCAAAACGAAAATGTGAAAATTCAAAACAGGAATGTGAAGTGTGGTAGTTTAGTGTGGGTAAAGAGAGAAGTGTTTGATCCGTATACCTCTGGTAAACTTTGTCACAAATGGCTAGGACCATATGTAGTGGAAGTAGCGATAGGATTTAGGCGCTTGCCTTTTGGTCTGTCTTGCTCACCAGCAATTTTTAGCAGGCAGATGAGAGAAATTTTAGGACCTTTGATAAAAAAAGGAGTGAAAAACTACTTAGATGATGTGATTGTGCTTGCAAACTCATTTGAGGAATTGGTACTTCTATTGGAGAGTTTTTTTGAGCATCTTCAAGAAAAAGGCGTAAAGCTAAATTTAAGAAAATGTAACCTTGGTCAAAAAGAAGTAAGCTTTTTGGGTAGTGTAATATGTAAACAAGGGTGTCAGGCTGACCCAAAGAACCTGGAAGGTATAAATGGTATGAAAGATCCCCAAAATGTACAGGATGTTAAAGGATTGTTAGGGATGGTAGGTTTTTATAGACGTCACATAGAAAAGTTTGCTAAAATAGCATTACCCTTAACAAATCTCACTAAGGAAGAAGGTAAATTTATTTGGAAGGATCAGTGCGAGGTTGCTTTTGACAAACTAAAAGAAGCACTGATGTCAACACCTATTCTTGTGAAGGCAGATGTAGGAAAACCACTGACCATGACAACAGATGCCAGCAATTATGCAGTTGGAGCAGTTCTAAGGCAGGTACAAGCAGAGGGTGAATTAGGTGTAATTGGTTATTTCATGAAAAAAGTAAACCAGGCAGAGGTAAACTATTCAGCTACAGGTAAAGGCTTAAGGAGTAGTGTTGGCTTGTGGTAATTTTGGACATTATATATGGGGAAACGGTGTGACAATCTATACTGAGCACCAGCCTCTTGTATCCGTTTTTCACAGAAGGACCAAGTCCGCCCGTATGAAGGATGGATTTTAGAAATGCGCGGACATACTTACAAGATGAAATACATGAAGGGAAAGCAAAATTTTGCTGCAGATATGTTATGGCTACCAGTGTTTAATGTGAAAGTAATAACTGGAAATGGTGATATTTTGGCTTAAGTGTAGAAGAATTTAAAAGTAAAGAAGGGGAGACAGATAAATGGATGGCAGTAATACATGACTTAGAAGGTGAGCCCTTACCAGGAAGCCTAAAGAAAACTGTTTTGCCTAACTTTGAGTTAGATGAAGGTCTGTTGTAAACTGGCAAAAAGCGTAATGATGGCAGTATCTGCTATAGTATAGTTGTACCTAAAGAATGAAGAGCTAAAGCATGTAAGCTTTGACATGAAAGGGGTTGGACATATGAGTATCATAAAAACAATAAATGATTGTGAAGGTTTCTTTTTGGCATTGGGAAACCTCTTTGACAGTCAGTTGGTAATTTCCCTCGGATAACAGGAGGTCTAGAGAGGATGAGTATTGATGTAACAGATGTGAAAAATGGTGGAGACGGTCATAGATATATCCAGGTGTATAGACCATCATTCCTGTTACGTAAATCTTTATCCAATGAGAGGGAAATCAGGTGGGAAGGTGATGGCAAAGCTGAGAAAGTACATGACAGCATATGGCAGTCCAGAGAAGCTTGTTAGTGACAATGGGTGTGAATTCCAAAACCGAGAGATGGAAAGTTTATGCAAGGAGGCAGGGATCACTGAGCACTTGATCACTCCATACCAGCCTCAGAGCAGTGGTGTGGTAGAAAGAGTGGCTGGCTCAATTAAACCCATTATTTGTGCTTTAGGAAGAGGGTTCTGGTATCAGTGGGCCAAATATTTGAGTTGGTGTGCCAGGAGCTTAAATGAATGGGTACACAGTACCACAGGAAGTACTCCTTATTGGGCATTCTTGAAAGGTCATCGTAAAAAGTACATGGAGTTTAGGGTGCCAGATCTTCCGTCAGACGAGGAAGGTTTGGAATTGGCAGAGGACAGTATGAAAGAAGAGCGGGACAGAGCACTAAAGACATACTCACAAAACAAAAATGTGAAAATTAACAACAGGAATGTGAAGTGTGGTAGTTTAGTGTGGGTAAAGAGAGAAGTGTTTGATCCGTATACCTGTGGTAAACTTTGTCACAGCTGGGGACCATATGTAGTGGAAGTAGTGATACGAGAGGGAGGTGCATATATCCTTGGTGATCCCAAATCAGAGAGAACTATCAAAAGAGCAGCAGATAAGGTGAAGCCTTGTTTAGGGACAGATGCATAGTTAATTGCAGACAGTGTAAAGGTAGACTTTGACTCAGAAAGTGAAACTGAAAAAGAATTATGTTAGGAAAGCTAGACTGAGAAGGAAAGGTGAAAGAGTAGGAATAGACGTATGATTGTAATGTGTAACTGTAGTGTGCCAACCAAATACTGTGTATGTAAGTTCTTGCAGATGTAGAAGAGAGGTGAATGTGAGCCTGGCCTGCTGTGGAAGGAGGTTGCAGCATGCCTGACCTGGAGGCGGTCATGACCGTGCACGTGGCGCCAGCAGCTGTAGTAGCGGGCATCTGAAGATGGAGCAGCATAGAAGAAAAGCAAGTACTCGTAAGCTCTGTTCCATGCCAGGCAGTGGTGAGGAAGGAATAGGGGCAAGATGACCAGGGAGTGATGTGGCTGTCTTCTTGGGAACTACTCACCGCACAGAGGAGGATCTGGTCAAGTTTCCCCTCATACAAAAGGTGAGGAAGGAAGAGTGCATAGGTGAGGTATCTGAACTATGCCCAGCATGGTTGTACACTTTTCAAAGTTGTGAAGCTGTTGTAGCTTGTTTAAATAGAGCAAATTGAAAGGTCAGTATTGGAATTAGTGCTTGAAGGATTATACTCTTTTGGCAGAGTGAGATGCAAATTAAATCATGTTCCTCTTAAGTGAAAGTCCTATACTGAGAAAGAAGTTAGATAGTAAATGTAAAAGTAATAGTTTGAAAATATGAAATAGTGAAAATCATTGAAATGTCCAAAATGAAGTTTAGTTTAAGTTCCAAGATGAGCAAAGTTTTATTTCAGAGTAGATAAACTGTCAATTTTAAGAATAAAGAAAGATATATTTCGTTTGAGTTTACAGATTATGGAGTGTTCTGTTTGCTATTTATGTTTTCTGCATGTATATTTTGATGGTTTCATCTTGTCAAGACAAGATTGGATGTGCATAGATGTGAAAATGTGATAAAGAAATATGTGTTTACTACAAAGGTTTTGCTTTGGTATTTAGGCATGCATACATGAGTTCACAGGTGAGCCCTTACCAGGAAAGCCAAAGAAAACTGTTTTGCCTAAGTTTGAGTTAGATGAAGGTCTGTTGTATTATGGCAAAAAGCGTAATGATGGCAGTATCTGCTATAGTATAGTTGTAGCTAAAGAATGAAGAGCTAAAGCATGTAAGCTTTGACATGAAAGGGTTGACATATGAGTATCATAAAAACAATAAATGATTGTGAAGAAAGTTTCTTTTGGGCATTGGAAACCTCTTTGACAGTCAATTGGTAATTTCCCTCGGATAACAGGAGGTCTAGAGAGGATGAGTATTGATGTAACAGATCTGAAAAAGGGTGGAGACGGTTATAGATATATCCTCAGGTGTATAGACCATCATTCCTGTTACGTAAATCTTTATCCAATGAGAGGGAAATCAGGTGGGAAGGTGATGGCAAAGCTGAGAAAGTACATGACAGCATATGGCAGTCCAGAGAAGCTTGTTAGTGACAATGGGTGTGAATTCCAAAACCGAGAGATGGAAAGTTTATGCAAGAGGCAGGGATCACTGAGCACTTGATCACTCCATACCAGCCTCAGAGCAATGGTGTGGTAGAAAGAGTGGCTGGCTCAATTAAACCCATTATTTGTGCTTTAGGAAGAGGGTTCTGGTATCAGTGGGCCAAATTTGAGTTGGTGTGCCAGGAGCTTAAATGAATGGGTACACAGTACCACAGGAAGTACTCCTTATTGGGCATTCTTGAAAGGTCATCGTAAAAAGTACATGGAGTTTAGGGTGCCAGATCTTCCGTCAGACGAGGAAGGTTTGGAATTGGCAGAGGACAGTATGAAAGAAGAGCGGGACAGAGCACTAAAGACGTACTCACTCACAAAACGAAAATGTGAAAATTCAAAACAGGAATGTGAAGTGTGGGTTTTAGTGTGGGTAAAGAGAGAAGTGTTTGATCCGTATACCTGGTAAACTTTGTCACAAATGGCTAGGACCATATGTAGTGGAAGTAGCGATAGGATTTAGCGCTTGCCTTTTGGTCTGTCTTGCTCACCAGCAATTTTTAGCAGGCAGATGAGAGAAATTTTAGGACCTTTGATAAAAAAGGAGTGAAAAACTACTTAGATGATGTGATTGTGTTTGCAAACTCATTTGAGGAATTGGTACTTCTATTGGAGAGTTTTTTTTGAGCATCTTCAAGAAAAAGGCGTAAAGCTAAATTTAAGAAAATGTAACCTTGGTCAAAAAGAAGTAAGCTTTTTGGGTAGTGTAATATGTAAACAAGGGTGTCAGGCTGACCCAAAGAACCTGGAAGGTATAAATGGTATGAAAGATCCCCAAAATGTACAGGATGTTAAAGGATTGTTAGGGATGGTAGGTTTTTATAGACGTCACATAGAAAAGTTTGCTAAAATAGCATTACCCTTAACAAATCTCACTAAGGAAGAAGGTAAATTTATTTGAAGGATCAGTGCGAGGTTGCTTTTCACAAACTAAAAGAAGCACTGATGTCAACACCTATTCTTGTGAAGGCAGATGTAGGAAAACCACTGACCATGACAACAGATGCCAGCAATTATGCAGTTGGAGCAGTTCTAAGGCAGGTACAAGCAGAGGGTGAATTAGGTGTAATTGGTTATTTCATGAAAAAGTAAACCAGGCAGAGGTAAACTATTCAGCTACAGGTAAAGAGGCTTAAGGAGTAGTGTTGGCTTGTGGTAATTTTGGACATTATATATGGGGAAACGGTGTGACAATCTATACTGAGCACCAGCCTCTTGTATCCGTTTTTCACAGAAGGAGCAAGTCCGCCCGTATGAAGGGATGGATTTTAGAAATGCGCGGACATACTTACAAGATGAAATACATGAAGGGAAAGCAAAATTTTGCTGCAGATATGTTATGGCTACCAGTGTTTAATGTGAAAGTAATAACTGGAAATGGTGATATTTTTGGCTTAAGTGTAGAAGAATTTAAAAGTAAAGAAGGGGAGACAGATAAATGGATGGCAGTAATACATGACTTAGAAGGTGAGCCCTTACCAGGAAGCCTAAAGAAAACTGTTTTGCCTAACTTTGAGTTAGATGAAGGTCTGTTGTGATATGGCAAAAAGCGTAATGATGGCAGTATCTGCTATAGTATAGTTGTAGCTAAAGAATGAAGAGCTAAAGCATGTAAGCTTTGACATGAAAGGGGTTGGACATATGAGTATCATAAAAACAATAAATGATTGTGAAGAAGGTTTCTTTTTGGCATTGGGAAACCTCTTTGACAGTCAGTTGGTAATTTCCGTCGGATAACAGGAGGTCTAGAGAGGATGAGTATTGATGTAACAGATGTGAAAAATGGTGGAGACGGTCATAGATATATCCAGGTGTATAGACCATCATTCCTGTTACGTAAATCTTTATCCAATGAGAGGGAAATCAGGTGGGAAGGTGATGGTGAAGCTGAGAAAGTACATGACAGCATATGGCAGTCCAGAGAAGCTTGTTAGTGACAATGGGTGTGAATTCCAAAACCGAGAGATGGAAAGTTTATGCAAGGAGGCAGGGATCACTGAGCACTTGATGATCACTCCATACCAGCCTCAGAGCAGTGGTGTGGTAGAAAGAGTGGCTGGCTCAATTAAACCCATTATTTGTGCTTTAGGAAGAGGGTTCTGGTATCAGTGGCCAAATTTGAGTTGGTGTGCCAGGAGCTTAAATGAATGGGTACACAGTACCACAGGAAGTACTCCTTATTGGGCATTCTTGAAAGGTCATCGTAAAAAGTACATGGAGTTTAGGGTGCCAGATCTTCCGTCAGACGAGGAAGGTTTGGAATTGGCAGAGGACAGTATGAAAGAAGAGCGGGACAGAGCACTAAAGACATACTCACTCACAAAACAAAAATGTGAAGTGTGGTAGTTTAGTGTGGGTAAAGAGAGAAGTGTTTGATCCGTATACCTGTGGTAAACTTTGTCACAAATAGCTAGGACCATATGTAGTGGAAGTAGTGATACGAGAGGGAGGTGCATATATCCTTGGTGATCCCAAATCAGAGAGAACTATCAAAAGAGCAGCAGATAAGGTGAAGCCTTGTTTAGGGACAGATGCATAGTTAATTGCAGACAGTGTAAAGGTAGACTTTGACTCAGAAAGTGAAACTGAAAAAGAATTATGTTAGGAAAGCTAGACTGAGAAGGAAAGGTGAAAGAGTAGGAATAGACGTATGATTGTAATGTGTAACTGTAGTGTGCCAACCAAATACTGTGTATGTAAGTTCTTGCAGATGTAGAAGAGAGGTGAATGTGAGCCTGGCCTGCTGTGGAAGGAGGTTGCAGCATGCCTGACCTGGAGGCGGTCATGACCGTGCACGTGGCGCCAGCAGCTGTAGTAGCGGGCATCTGAAGATGGAGCAGCATAGAAGAAAAGCAAGTACTCGTAAGCTCTGTTCCATGCCGTGCAGTGGTGAGGAAGGAATAGGGGCAAGATGACCAGGGAGTGATGTGGCTGTCTTCTTGGGAACTACTCACCGCACAGAGGAGGATCTGGTCAAGTTTCCCCTCATACAAAAGGTGGAGGAAGGAAGAGTGCATAGGTGAGGTATCTGAACTATGCCCAGCATGGTTGTACACTTTTCAAAGTTGTGAAGCTGTTGTAGCTTGTTTAAATAGAGCAAATTGAAAGGTCAGTATTGGAATTAGTGCTTGAAGGATTATACTCTTTTGGCAGAGTGAGATGCAAATTAAATCATGTTCCTCTTAAGTGAAAGTCCTATACTGAGAAAGAAGTTAGATAGTAAATGTAAAAGTAATAGTTTGAAAATATGAAATAGTCATTGAAATGTCCAAAATGAAGTTTAGTTTAAGTTCCAAGATGAGCAAAGTTTTATTTCAGAGTAGATAAACTGTCAATTTTAAGAATAAAGAAAGATATATTTCCTTTGAGTTTACAGATTATGGAGTGTTCTGTTTGCTATTTATGTTTTCTGCATGTATATTTTGATGGTTTCATCTTGTCAAGACAAGATTGGATGTGCATAGATGTGAAAATGTGATAAAGAAATATGTGTTTACTACAAAGGTTTTGCTTTGGTATTTAGGCATGCATACATGAGTTCACAGGTGAGCCCTTACCAGGAAAGCCAAAGAAAACTGTTTTGCCTAAGTTTGAGTTAGATGAAGGTCTGTTGTATTATGGCAAAAAGCGTAATGATGGCAGTATCTGCTATAGTATAGTTGTAGCTAAAGAATGAAGAGCTAAAGCATGTAAGCTTTGACATGAAAGGGTTTGACATATGAGTATCATAAAAACAATAAATGATTGTGAAGAAAGTTTCTTTTGGGCATTGGGAAACCTCTTTGACAGTCAATTGGTAATTTCCCTCGGATAACAGGAGGTCTAGAGAGGATGAGTATTGATGTAACAGATCTGAAAAAGGGTGGAGACGGTTATAGATATATCCTCAGGTGTATAGACCATCATTCCTGTTACGTAAATCTTTATCCAATGAGAGGGAAATCAGGTGGGAAGGTGATGGCAAAGCTGAGAAAGTACATGACAGCATATGGCAGTCCAGAGAAGCTTGTTAGTGACAATGGGTGTGAATTCCAAAACCGAGAGATGGAAAGTTTATGCAAGGAGGCAGGGATCACTGAGCACTTGATCACTCCATACCAGCCTCAGAGCAATGGTGTGGTAGAAAGAGTGGCTGGCTCAATTAAACCCATTATTTGTGCTTTAGGAAGAGGGTTCTGGTATCAGTGGGCCAAATATTTGAGTTGGTGTGCCAGGAGCTTAAATGAATGGGTACACAGTACCACAGGAAGTACTCCTTATTGGGCATTCTTGAAAGGTCATCGTAAAAAGTACATGGAGTTTAGGGTGCCAGATCTTCCGTCAGACGAGGAAGGTTTGGAATTGGCAGAGGACAGTATGAAAGAAGAGCGGGACAGAGCACTAAAGACGTACTCACTCACAAAACGAAAATGTGAAAATTCAAAACAGGAATGTGAAGTGTGGTAGTTTAGTGTGGGTAAAGAGAGAAGTGTTTGATCCGTATACCTCTGGTAAACTTTGTCACAAATGGCTAGGACCATATGTAGTGGAAGTAGCGATAGGATTTAGGCGCTTGCCTTTTGGTCTGTCTTGCTCACCAGCAATTTTTAGCAGGCAGATGAGAGAAATTTTAGGACCTTTGATAAAAAAAGGAGTGAAAAACTACTTAGATGATGTGATTGTGTTTGCAAACTCATTTGAGGAATTGGTACTTCTATTGGAGAGTTTTTTTTGAGCATCTTCAAGAAAAAGGCGTAAAGCTAAATTTAAGAAAATGTAACCTTGGTCAAAAAGAAGTAAGCTTTTTGGGTAGTGTAATATGTAAACAAGGGTGTCAGGCTGACCCAAAGAACCTGGAAGGTATAAATGGTATGAAAGATCCCCAAAATGTACAGGATGTTAAAGGATTGTTAGGGATGGTAGGTTTTTATAGACGTCACATCGAAAAGTTTGCTAAAATAGCATTACCCTTAACAAATCTCACTAAGGAAGAAGGTAAATTTATTTGGAAGGATCAGTGCGAGGTTGCTTTTCACAAACTAAAAGAAGCACTGATGTCAACACCTATTCTTGTGAAGGCAGATGTAGGAAAACCACTGACCATGACAACAGATGCCAGCAATTATGCAGTTGGAGCAGTTCTAAGGCAGGTACAAGCAGAGGGTGAATTAGGTGTAATTGGTTATTTCATGAAAAAAGTAAACCAGGCAGAGGTAAACTATTCAGCTCCAGGTAAAGAGGCTTAAGGAGTAGTGTTGGCTTGTGGTAATTTTGGACATTATATATGGGGAAACGGTGTGACAATCTATACTGAGCACCAGCCTCTTGTATCCGTTTTTCACAGAAGGAGCAAGTCCGCCCGTATGAAGGATGGATTTTAGAAATGCGCGGACATACTTACAAGATGAAATACATGAAGGGAAAGCAAAA